AATTTCTTCACGCTTGAGTTGTAACGAGACAAATTGCGCGTTACATAGTTCAAATTGCCAATCTCAGGTACAAAAAAAAACAAAAAACAAAAAAAGAAAACATTGGTAGAAACGCATTTCAAAGACAAGGTTTCAGTAGTTTTTCAAGTAGTTTTGGGTGAGTTTCAAATTAGAGCTAAGGGTGGAGTAAATGACGCAAAAAAGGGTAAAAACGCTTATCAGAACAAATATTTTGAATTGCAAAATTTGACAAAATGGTTTTGTAACGAACTTAATTTCTTGGTTACTGCGCATGTACGCGCGACCAGTATCCAGTGGGTGGGTGGTTGTGTTTTGCTTGCCCTGCCGGGCTTTTGTTCCCTCTGTGATTTCTTCTTTTTTTTGCCCAAATGTTATAGACATTTCAAGTCTCGTAATTACTCGGCCATTAGGCACCGAGTGTTAAATCATGTTAGATTTTAGTCCTTTTTTTTTTTGTGCAACAAAATGCATAATAAGAACATGTGTGGTATTTCATTGGTCAATACACAATAGAAAGCACGTGGCGTTATTTACGTATTCACTGACGAATGACCACAAATTTACATGAGCTTGTTTTTGTGTAATTTTACACCCACAACCTGACCCAAGTGAGCACTTCGAACGACCTGAGCACATTTTCCTGCACATATCTTCGTAAAGTTGTGAAGATTTTAATCCAGTAGGGTTAATCGATCAGAAAGACATCACAACCGGATGCCGTGACAATTCTATATTTAGAGCTTTTAATTAAGAGGTAAAAATGTCTACGAATACTACCACAGACATATTTGCGTTTGGTAATGATTAACACTTAATGACTGGTCCCGAGGGGAACAGTGAATTTTGTTTCCCTCGAATCTCAGTGTTTCCCGAGACGAAGTCGAAGGAAACATTGAGATTCGAGGGAAACAAAATTCACAGTTCCTCCAAGGGACCAGTCATTAAGTGATTTGTTATAGAGCAAAATGAATGGGTCAAACGGTCGAAAACACACAACCACTTTATTGACAAATGACGAGCGACAGCGGTCAACATTTTGCGGGTAACAGTGAACCGTTTCCCATTTGACGCCACAGCAAGTTTACGGCGTCTTTTCCCCTCTTTTTTTTCCCGGCACTTGACCATTTTGGGATCTTGTTATCGTAAAAAAACAAATTGACGTCAGTTTTTAATGCGTCTGTCCTGTATTGACAATGAATCTTGTCATAACATTGTGAAAGTAGTCTGCGGATCCACTCGGCTATCGTCTCGTGGATCCACAGCTACTTTGACAATGTTACGTCGAAATTCGTGATCAATAATAGGACAGACGCATGAAAAGCTGACGTCAATTTGTTAAGTTGATAGGATGCAACGAATATTCACTACAAACAAACAGACTCGAAGAGATCGTGTTGAGCACAATGCGTCCGATGTAAGAAGGACAAATTTCTCTCTTTTCTTTTCTTTAAGCGCTAAATTAGGGGCATACCAATATTTTTCCAGGCCCGAGTTTAAGCTAATTCTAGCCTCTTGTTCCTATTATTTCCTGATCTGCAAGCTAACTTCCTTGATCCCTTTCCACAATCGGAAGTGAAGTACTAAATATAAGCGTTGGTAATGGGAAATTGGAGACCGATACTTGTCGTGTTTTTTTTTTCTTTTTTTTTTTCTCCCACGAATGACTGATAACTACGAAACTAGTGTGTTTAATTCAGTGCCAAAATTTGGTTTTGAGACATCGATGCTCAATTTAGAGAGGAATTACTTCCCCTTTAACACTACCTTTTACCTTTCGTTCGTATTATTTGGGACAACAGTTTTAACTGTTTTAACAGTTGATGGAGTCAGTCCCATGAAAAGATTACGAAAAACATAGACTGATGATGAAGAATGGACCAAAGGCCTAATTTAGATTTAGAGTAAGTTCAAATCCATCCAGGGCGGTTTACACGATTTAATCTCCTAACAAAAAAATTGAACTTATTAGTCTGTTCAATGCAACAACGGAACAACAGAACGAAGCAAATGAGAATTTGAAGGGAGTGCGCGTCATGGAGTCAAAGAAAAATGGGTTGTGTCGCTTTTAGTTTCCACTAGTCTTCTTGATCGGGGTAACAACCTACTTTCAAGGCTGGAATTGGACTATGGGAAGGCTATTCACTTTCTCTCACACATATCCCACACCCCGACCCCCAGTCATTTCAATGTTGGCTGGTAAACGAGACTACTTACGCCAAATGAACGCAAGTACCGGAATATTGTACGTTGACAAAAAAAATTGTGCCTTGCAAAAAATTGTACGTTGTATTGTACGTTGACAAAAAAAAAATGGAAATCAATCTGTTCGAATTGTTTTCGAAACATGTCTTCCAATTAAATTTTTCTTCGTCCGCCTAAGCGTACCACTTCGAATGCACTTTCAAGGAGGGGTCAACAGAAGGACGATTAATTATAAAGAAGTGCAACTGAGAAAATCCTCTGGTGCGCAGAGACCGGTCCTGGGAATGTATTCCCAGAATGTGCAGTGTATTTCTGACAACCTGAGCCGTGAACTGTGGTTGTCTACAATTGACGTACTAATTGTCGATATATAACGCGTTGTGAACCGTGATTTGGTTTCTGATAATTTTTTTTCAGTTCATTTGGCGAGAGCTTGCCGGCGTCGGGTATAGTGACAAATCCGTACTACGTTACGTTCTACATTTAACAAATTGACGTCAGTCTTTTATGCGTCTGTCCTCTTACTGATAATAAATTGCTTCATAACATTGTCAAAGTGGCTGTGAAACCGCGAGGCGCAGGCGAGTGGTTCCGCAGTAGACTTTAACAATGTTATGACGAAATTTATCATCAATAAGAGGACAGACGTATAAAAAAACTGACGTCAATTTGGCTTTACAATAACAAGATCCCAAAATGGTCAAGTGCCGGGAAAAAAAAGAGGGGAAAAGACGCCGTAAACTTGCTGTAAACCGCCAAAAAAACAAAAAAAACAAAAAAAAAGAGTGAATTTTATTCAAAATGACGCGAATATGTAATAGCTTTTCTCGCTTTTTGATTGGCTACTTAGAAAAGTTCATAAAATCTTATTGGTTAAAAAGTTGACAGTTTGACAGCTGAAAGTTGAACTTGAAAGCTTGCATAAATTAAAACTAAATGATAACTGATTAAAACTGATGATAAAAATGAGCCAATCAGCGCGCGAGAAATTAGACAGTTATGGTAAAAATGGGCTTTTGTACATCACACGGTACCATTTTTTTCCCTGCATTTTAGCGAGGCAAAAGCACTAAGCATTATTCCAGTATTTTAGTGGCATTTCCCCAGATAATAATAATTTTTTTAGAGAAAATAAGATTAAAAATGACTTTTTTTTATGAGAAAATGAATTTCAAATGCCACCTTAATGCAGCCGAGTGGAGAATGGGGAGAAGTCAGCGGTTAAAAGCAAAGGCGGCCATGTTTGTTTTCGCTCGCCTGTGATCTGTTACTTTCGTTTGATTGTGTCAGTGTCACTGATATCACAGCAGTAATACTGACAAGGGTGACACGCCATTGCCCCAAAGACTGCAAAATGTACAATGCAATAAGTTGCTGGGAGTAAACGAGGAGTGAGGACATATTAACCCTACAAACTGAATGTGAAATGACCTGCTTATTTTCCGTAAAAGGTGATCTGGACCGTTCATCTCACACCTGTTTTAGTGAAAAATATAGAAAACGGTAACTCAAACTTAAGTCAAACGTAACTCAAACTCAACTTAAACTCAACTCAACTCCTAATTCGGTAGCTATCCTATCTCCAGTGTATGTTGTTATGCATACTGCTTTCACAAATTATAGAGACTTTGTTTAATTTGTTGAGTTTAGTGAAATGATTGGCTGAATTTCTTTTAAGGTTATTGGTGGACGACTGGTAGAACTACCGCCGAAAAAGAGACTGCAAAGCTGTCAGCAAAAATAATATTCAAATTACGCTTTTGCGCGAATGATTATTAAACTTGGCCGCAAGTTTTTGAGACTTTGGACGATTTCCAGCCTCTAAATGCATTTCTTGGCTTTAGCTGGAATGATAATCAATCTTAAACGAATTTTCTGTAACATTTCTGTTATCCTTCGTTTGATTCAGGTGTAGTGATATGTATATTGTATTTATGTAGTTTTCCTCGGTTTTGTTATTGTTGAAATGTCGAGTGGATGATTAGTATTGCACTAGGCTTGCTGATGCAGCAAGTATGGAATATAATTTACCAAAATACTAA